AACTGTTCTATATAATTAATAATCAGAAATGAAAATTAAAATCACAATGAGATGCTGCTGTACAAAAATTAAAATATACTAACAAGCATGGGCAAGAATGTACAGCCACAAGAACTCTTTGTACACTGCTGATGGATTTTAAATTGATACAACCACTTTGGAAAACAGGCATTCTCTTGTGATGTTGAAATATATATATATATATATATATACACACACACACACACACACACACACACACACATATATTCATATATAATTTTTGGAGGAGTACTGGGGAGTTCCTCTGACTACACTCCAGCCCTTTAAAAAAAAATCTTTTATTTTTAAATTTTGAGACAGGGTCTTGCTAAGTTCCCCAGGCAAGCCTCAAACTTGAGATCCTCCTGCCTCCGCCTGTGTATCTTATTACACAGTATTTTCACTTCTAGGTATATTTCTACATCAATGTATTATAATCAAAGTGCTCATCATTGGTAGAATACTTAAGTAAATTGTGGCAGATTCATACAATAGAATACTATGAAGACAATATAAATGAAGGAACTACTGCAATATACAACTGCATGAATGGGTCTAAATGTTGAGTAAAGCCACAAAAGAATACATATGTTGTATTCTTTTGCTTTTAGAAAGTTAAGAGGTATGAAGGGCAGAATTGTGCCATTCAGAATTATGTAGATGTCTACTCCCAATACCTGTAACCTGTGAATATATCAGATTACATGGCAAGGGAAATTAAGGTTGCTAATCAACTGACCTTAAAATAAGAATATCCTTACCATTGGAGCAAGGAGCACATGTGGGAGGCAGAGAAGGAATAGCCAAGAGATAACTGCATGGGAAGGATTTGGCTTAACAGTACTACCATAAAGATGGAGGGATGGGGCTGTGAGCCTAGCAATGTGGGCAGTTTCTAAGCTGGAAAGGGAAGGAAATGGATTCTGCCCTAGAGGCCCCAGAAAGAAACTCAACACTACTGACACCTTGATTTTCACCTAAGGAGCCCATTTCCAACGTCTGATGTTTAGAATTGTGAAGTAAGACGTTTGTAAGTTTTTTAAAAAAATTTTTATTAGTTTTTAAATTTAAAAAAATTTTTTTTGTAGTTATAGATGGACAGAATGCCTTTGTTTTCTTTTTTATGTGGTGCTAAGGATTGAACTCAGTGCCTCACACATGCTAGACTAGCGATCTGCCACTGAGCTACAGCACCAGCCAAGTTTGTGGTCGTTTGTCACATCAGTGATAGGAAACTAATATAGAAGACCAACCTACAGATTATAAAGTGTTAAAACTAAAACTATCAAGAAAACAATTATCACTGGGGCTGGGATTGTGGCTCAGCGGTAGAGCACTCACCTAGCACTTGTGAGGCCCTGGGTTCAAACCTCAGCACCACATAAAAATAAAATAAAGATATTATGTCCATCTACAACTAAAAAACAATAAGTATTTTTTTAAAAAAGAAAACAATTATCACAAAAATTAGTAAATTGGTTACATGTTTGAGAGAGGGGAAGGGGTCATCTGCAACAGCTACACTGGGGCTTCTAGGTATTGAATAGAATATTTTTCACTTCTCTGAATGCATATATGTTTCAATGCAGTCTTTTATATTTATGAAGTTAAAATGCATTGCTTTTATAACTGGAAAAGTTTTTTTAAATTGGTATAATTTTACATATTTATGAGGTATAGTATGATAATTCAATACATGATACAAAGTGGGAAAAGAGATTTAGGAATAAAACATTCAATTTTTTTTTTTTTTTTAGCTGAAAAGGATGAAATTTGTTTTTCCTCTTTAATCACATTTCTTTGGCTATAAAATTATTCCCTCTGAGAGACTATGATAATACATATCCTTTACAAACTATCATTTTGTGGTATTTTCCATAAGATGATCCATCTACCCAAGTTATTAATTCTGTCTGTTCATTTATGATTTTATAGCATATTAAAAGATAACTCATTTAAGGGGTTGGGGTTGTGGTTCAGTGATAAAGTGCTTGCCTAGTATGTGTGAGGCACTGGATTTGATCCTCAGCACCACATAAAAATAAATGAATAACATCAAAAATTGTGTCAATCTACAATTTAAAATTTTTTTTTAAAAAAAAGATTACTCATTTAAAACAAGAAACTACTTGCCAAAAACATGAGAACCTTTAAAAATTATGATTTTAAAAGTAGACCAATTAGCCAGGCACAATGGCATACTGTGATCCCAGCTAACAGTTGGGTGGGTGGCAAGTTCAAGACCATCCTGAGCAATTTAGTGAGTCCCTATCTCAGAATAAGAAGGACTTAGGATATAGCTCAATGGTAGAACTCTTGCCTAGTATCCATAAGGTCTTAATTAAGTTCCATTGCTAATACCACAGGCACAAAAAAAGTAGACATATTATGTTTTAAATTCTCTAATCACTTAAAAAAATAAGGAATAGTTGTTTATTAACATGCATTTAAACTTAGTATATGTCTAGCTATTGTTTTTTTTTCCCCTCATTAGTTTGGAGACAAAACTGGACTTTTAAATAATTTAGGTTTATAATACAAATATTAAGCTTTCTCTGCTTAGCTAAGGTAACCTCTGCTTAATTTTAATTTGTTGCCTGAAATTATCTTTACTGGATTCAGCTTAAATATTTAAGGAGCAGTTTGTGATTGACATTAATAATTTCTTTCTTCAACTTTTAAAAGTATACTAATATAATTTAAATAGGAATTGATAAAAATTGTACTTCATATTAAAGAAGTTATTCATGGTGATTTGGGGGGAATTTTTTAGTCTGAAGTACTCAAAGGTTACTATTACCTGGGCTTTAATTTTGTCCAAGTGAATATAGCATGATGAGGCATTTTGGCAAAATAATGATCTCTTTCCCAACTTCTGTTACTATCATAAGGCAGGCAGGCATAGTCCTTAGGGAATGTGTGAGTCTTGGGACATGTTGGTCTCAGAAAACAAGGCAAAAAAAGCCTATAGACAGGGCTGGGGCTGTAGCTCAATGGTAGAGCATTTGCTTAGCATATGCAAGGCACTGGGCTCAATCCTTAGCACCACATAAAAATAAATAAAATAAAGGCATTCTGTCCATCTACAACTACAAACAAACAAAAAGACAGTTATCTTAAACTTGTGAGTTCACAGAATTAGCTCTGTCCCAGATGGAAAGCTTGATTTCAGTTCTTTTAGAAGTTGTTTCTATTAGTTTGGTGTTAACTGCCATTCATTGTACCCTTGCAGCTTGACCTGAGCTTTAAAGAATCGGAGAGCCATGAATTATCAAAGAACATAATCCTCATAAAAGTACTTGAATAGCCAAGGAAAGGGTGAACAAGGAAAACATCCAAAATGAGTTAACTTCAGTGAAGTAGAACTCCTGGAAGAGATTTGTGACAAGTTTAAGAAGCAAAACAAAACTATCTTGAGATTCTCCTGAGAAACAAAGTGGCATGCTTCTAATTATACCATAAAAGAACTGAAACAAGAAGGGATGAGGGAAAACTTTTCTATAATTTGTGGAGAGAATGATTTTTGTTAAATTCAAATTAATAATCTAGAAGAGTAATTAGAAGTGTATATATCAAAATAGAAAGAAGTAGAAAGAACCATTGTAGGAGATGCATCCACTAAAGATAAAATAGACAAATCTATTTGGAAAGAAGGATTAAATGAGTTCACTGCATTTCAGACTAAGTGTTGAAGGTGGTATGCAGGCATAACAAGATGCTTACAAAAGAAAGGTAATAAGATATGCACTGAACTTTTTTATAGGACATTAGAAACTAGAAAGTAGTTAAATAGCATCTACAGATTACTAAGAAAAGAACTGTGTCATTATCTAGCCAAAATATCATTTATTTGTTATGGTTAAAACAAGGTATTTGTATATGTGCTGGTATTCAGAGGATATATTAGCCAAGTCTTCCATCTAGAGAATGTTCTCATTTAAGGATCTTCCCAAATGATTCCCAACAGAGACTTAAGATTTCCTCTTGGCTGGGCTCAGTGGTAGATTGCTTGCCTAGCCATGTTCAGGGGCCTGAGTTCTATCCCCAACACCATACACACACACACACACACACACACACACACACACACAAGGGTAATGGAGGGGGCAGGGAGAAAACTATTTTTCTGATTTCCTACAGAAAGAAAAAAACAGTAGTAAGCAAATGAATCTCACAGTATACTGAATTAAATCTGAATGGATAATGACTATAGCAACATAGTCCTTTATTCTTTGCATTTCCTATTAAGTTTGCCACTGATCCAGAAGCTTGATTAGACACAGGTTCTGTCCCTTGGGAAAACCTTGGATACTTCTCTTCATCTATTTGGCTCACTGATAAAGTCATGTAGGGAATGCAGGATAAATGTTTGGTTTTTCTCCTTATTTTATCAGTGTACAGGATAATGGATTGCTGTTCTGTCATCTTTTTTGAGTTGTGTTGTTATAAACTCGTGTAGTTTGATATTTGTGATGGATTTCAATCCATTGCAATTATTTTTATTAAAGTTCAAATTGTCTCACCTTCGGGCAGTGGGAGCCGTAAATTACAGAGTCCTTTTGACAAACCCTGATAATTTGGGGTAAAGAAAAAGGTAGTATTTTTGTTTTGTTTTGTTTTGCTGTTCTAAAAACCTGGCTGTGGGAAGGTGAATTTTAGAGATCCAATTGTTTCGTAGGCTCTTAGGAATTTAGTGATATAATCTTTAATATGTAGGAGATGCCTTAGTATTTGCTTTATTTGCAATGAATAGTGGTTTTATTTTTTAGTGTATATGGAAACTCAAAAAGAAATCAACATTTCCCAGCAATAGATTCAAAGGTGTGTATTTAAACGGTTTACTGAGTCAGTTGATGTTTTAACTTTATGTCGAACCAGTCTTCACAATAGGAACACTGGAGAATCCAAATAATTACAAAGCCTGCATATTAGTTTAACATTTCAGTAAAAATTTATTGAAAAAATAACTTTTCTTTCAGATCTGTCACGAAACCGCCTCTCAGAAATTCCTATAGAAGCATGTCACTTTGTTTCTCTCGAAAATCTCAACTTATATCAAAATTGTATTCGGTATATCCCAGAGGCGATTCTAAACCTGCAGGCCCTAACATTCTTAAATATTAGGTAAGCATATTGTTTCTTTTTTTGTTTGTTTGTTTAACTTGGTTTTATAAGGTCTTTCTAATTTTCTCATCTCTTTCACTAAACTGTTTACAGATATTTACAGTATCTGTATTGGCAGTTTCTGTACATGTTATTAGGATAAATCAACAGTATATCCTGTGTTCTTCTAGTGTCTCTGCTTATCTTTGGCTTTACAATCATTAACACACCCTACTAGCCATTAGTCTAACAGTAGCAGTGGTTCTCCAATTACATTTTTAAAGTAGCTTCCTCAAACAAAAATAGTAGATCTGAAATTCCTTCACTTGGTTCTTGTGACCATGAATTTTTGTGTATTAACTTTTGAATGTGTAAATGCATTTATTCAACTCATCTCTATTTCTTCACATCTTACAATGACTTTTTTTAAAAAAATTCAATATAAAACAACTGAAAATATATAAATGTAAAGAAGCACAAAGGAAATTCAACAAAATATTGTATCTTAAGTTATATAATTATAATTGATCTTCGCTTTCTGTTTTTCCAGGATTTAGTCAATTTTTAAAATGTGTTTTCTTTCCTCTTATCATAAAATACCCTTTGAAAATATTTTTATAGATAATCATTTTGTTGCATAGTTTATCTGCTTTTAAAAGTCCATTTTCCTCCCAGATATTTAGTTTCTCCCAGTTTTTTACCAAAAGTAAAAAAAAAATAAAAGTAACACTACTAGAGAAGTTTGTATGTAGATTTTATTTTTCTCTTTCCTTAAGATAAGTGTCTAAGAGTGGAATTATTATTGGATTAAAAAGTTTTAGTGCTGGGCATGGTGGTGCATGCCTGTAATCCCAGCAGTTCAGGAACCTGAAGCAGAAGAATCATGAGTTCAAAGCCAGCCTCAGCAACTTAATGAGGCCCTAACCAACTCAGCGAGACCCTGTCTCTAAATAAAATACAAAAAAGGGCTGAGGATGTGGCCCATGGTTAAGCATCCCTGTGTCCAATCCCCAGTTAAAAAAAAAAAAAAAAAAAAATTTCAAGCCTCATGGCCTCATGATCTACATTGGTTACATCTTGAAAATGGAGAGGGAATTGATATTAAGGATTAAGAAGTTAAATCTACATATGTGTTTTGTTATTTTACTTTAAGATACAATTTTTCTGTTTTTGTATAAATAAAGATTCCTTTCCTATAATTTATTTGGTATATCATATGAAATCACAGCCTATCACTTGTTTTCCATAGAGCAATATTTGAATCATTTTTGTACATTTGGTTATAATATTGTAATGATGAGTGAAGTAGAATACAAATAATTTTGTTTCTGTATCTTTGGGAGGAAAAAGAAAGGATGATCTTATGTAAATATTACTTTAATAAAATTATAATGTCATGGTCATATAGCATTCATTCTTTATAAAAGAGTTTTATTGTGTAAGAGCCCTGTAAGATAGTTAGGAAAATATTAAATCTTTAATTATCCATGAGGACTCTTCATAAGATACAGTTATAAGTTCAGTGCTGTGCCTAAAATTACAAAGATGACATCTGGCAAAATGAAAGCTAGAACTGAAATCTAATATCCTGTTTGTTCCCTGTAAGACTTATATTTGAGTCTAGAATAAGAAAGATGGAATTTTTTTCCTCAGTGGTAGGCTCTGACTCCTCTTTTTCTACTTACCCATTTAGTCGGAACCAACTGTCAACATTGCCAGTACACTTGTGTAATTTACCATTGAAAGTTTTAATTGCTAGTAATAACAAATTGGTATCACTTCCAGAAGAAATTGGACATCTCAGACATTTGACAGAACTTGTAAGTTAATATTTCATTTTCTGCTCATCCAGTGTGTCTTTGTAGTCATATTATACTCTTATACGTGGTAAAGATCTACTATTAATATGTATTTTCAGCTATTTTCCACTTTGGTATTGAAGCTTGGCTGAATGAGTAGTAACTCAACTTCTTGACATTGAATTAAAAAAGAACTGAAAGTATAAGTCAAATAGGCCCACACAAAATGGGAAAATGTCTTTAGAATTATGTTCTAACCAGTGTTAAATGATTTGTTATTAAATTTTTGAAATATAAGGTAATAATGCATTTGGGTTTTCAAATTAAATTTTATTAATACAATCAATATTCTAATTTTCTGTTAGCCCCTTTATGGGAGTGGACACTTCAAAAGTCAGCCCCCCCACACACATACACACATACTATCTCAAACTCTACAGTATATTTTACTGCCCTATATTTTTTCCATATTTTTTATGAATGCATTATATTTATACATAATGTTGGGCTTTGTTGTTGCCTCATATTTTCTAAGACTTTTACTTGAACTTTACCTACCCTCCTTGTAAATTATAAGAAAGCATCTCTTGTGTATTTATGTTCAAATACAAGAATGAGACTTTTCTTGGGCTGGAGTTTGTGGCTCAGTGGTAGAACGCTCTCGCCTAGCATGCATGACACACTGAATTCGATCCTCAGCATCACATAAAGTAAAATAAAGACATTGTGTCTACCTATAACTAAAAATAAATAAATAAATAAAAAGAATAAGACTTTTCTCATTTTGGAGTAATTATATCACAATAATACTATAAGCTGGTACTAAAATTTTCTTCATTTTATAGCTGAGGAAACTAGCACTCAGGTTAGTAACTTGTTCAAGGTTACATAACAAAAGTAGAATTTGAAACCATTCCTAACTTAACACTAAAGCCCATGTTTAATATTTCTGAAATGGTTCAATACAAACATGTTCACTGGGATTTAGGTGTATTGTTCCATGCTGGTTTATTAACAAAGAGAGTTATTGTAAACAAAAAAAATACACGCAACATAAATCTAATTAGACAGATTAGATCACTCTTTTTCAAGTGCATTTGTCAATCCTAAATACTCCAAAGATAGATAGGTTTCAGAAGCTGCTTTTAGTTTTCTACAAAAAAGGTTATTTGATACTTTGAGTCCTAAGAATTAGTAACCCTAAAGCCTCTGACTCCCAATGGATGTTCTTTTTGTAACATCCATGTTGCCTCTTTCTTTTTTTCCCCTTCATTTAAAAATGGAACTAAACTTCTGTCTTTTGGAATATATATATTCTACATATACACATATATATTCATATTCCCTCCTTAGGGATATGTTATGTATTGCTATAAACTTTTGGCTCAGGCCCAGTTTTCTTGACACTTGTTGCCTATAGCATTAGATTTAAAAGTCTAGCTTCGGATTCTACTTTAGTCATTAATTCATAGGAAAAGTGAAAATTGCATTGTTTTCTCTAAGAGTATTTTGGGGACATTAACAAATAATGTTTGAGCTTAATGAAGTTTTGGGTAAATCTGATTTTCTTTCTTTCTTTTTTTCTTTCCTTTCTTCCTCCCTTCCCTTCCTTTCTTTCCTTCCTGTCCTTCCCATCTTTCCCTTCCTTTCTCTTTCTCTTTTTTTGAACCAGGGATTGAATCCAGAGGTGCTTTACCTCTGAGCCATATCCCAGCCCTTTTTATTTTGAGACAGGGTCTTGCTTAGGACCTTGCTATAAGTTGCTGAGGCTGGTCTCAAACTTGTGATCCTCTTGTCTCAGCCTCTGAGTTGCTGGGATTACAATAGTGAGCTATCAAGCCCGGCAGTAGTCTGATTCTCTACACAGTAAATGTATTATTTTCTTTTCCTTATATATTGGAAGAATTTTAAGTGATAATGTGCAGCTTGGAGCTTTTTATCAACCTAGATAGTTTCTTGCTATAATACATGATTATGGGTTAACGAATTATTCTGGCTGATCTCAGAATTATGAAATTCTGAATTTATTAATCTTAGAACCTATGGGTAGTCTCTTTTCAGAACCATTGTAATAAAACTGTTACCAAAATACCAGAATGCCTGTAATCCCACTACTCAGGAGGGAAGGACTGTAATTTTGAGGCCAGTCTTGGCAATTTAGTGAGATTAGACCCTGATGTATCAAAACAAAAATATATATATAAAAAAGACTTGGTGGCTGGGATTGTAGCCCAGTGATAGAGCTCTCGCCTAGCAAGTGTGAGGCCCTGGGTTCAATCCTCAGTACCATATAAAAATAAATAAACAAAATAAAGATATTGTGTCCAACTACAACTAAAAAATATTTTTTTTTTAAAAAAAGGACTTGGGATGTAAGTTAGTTGTAAAGTGTTCCTGGATTCAATCCTTATTATCACAAAAAAATAAAAAGAGGCCTACCTAACATATATTGGAATTGGGTTGATCGTATGCTAATAAAACAGCTTGTTTTTCCATAACCTTTGAGTTATGTGTATTTCATTTTTTATCCACATCCAATTTGATAATTTGAAATTTTCTGTGTATTTTTACAGTTTCAAAGAGTTGAAACTGATGTTTTGAAAATGGAGTTTTTTCTTTCAAATAATTTTATCATTTAATTTTTTATTTTAATTTATTAGAATAATATATAATAAAATAGTTATTTTTGTACTTTTTTTATATTTACCTTTTCATCAGTGTTTTCATTTGATCTGATATCCTAGCCCTTCTAGTCATATTTTAAGTCATCTAATTAACTATATTCTTGAGAAATATTTATGGCTCATAAGTTTTTAAAATTAAATGTGAGCACAAATTATGGAATTATTCTTTAACAGAGAATCATAATTTTTTTATAACTGAGAAAAACCCTAGGTATTATTTTATCTAATCTCATTGTAGAGATAGTTTAAAACAGGCAAGTTTACTATTAGAACAATGATTACTTTGTTCCCTTTTGAAATAGGATGTGAGCTGCAATGAAATTCAAACTATACCTTCCCAGATTGGTAATCTGGAGGCCTTGAGAGACCTTAATGTGAGAAGAAATCACTTAGTACGTTTGCCTGAAGGTAAGAAACTGTGAAACAATTGTTTTATTATTATTCATCTTTTTATTTTTAATATCTTGATGGGCTGAAGATATAGCTCAGTTGGTAGAGAGCTTGCCTCACATGCACAAGGCCCTGGGTTCAGTCCCCAGGAAAACACACACACACACGCGCGTGCGCGCACAATCTCTGAATGATGGGCACAAGACAACTAAGAGATGTCCTTCAGCAAAACAGAGTAAACTAAGAAAAGGAAGATCTGAAATCCAAAGAAGAAGAAGAAAATAGGCAGGGGTAGCACCACTTAGAGAACCACCAGCTCAGATAAGAAGAGAGAAAAAGGTCTTAGTGGGGAAGATATACAGGAAAAAAAAGTGATAGAAAAATCTGATGCATTTGACAAAGAAGGCTGCTGGATAAAAAGGGTGGAATTAGCCATAGATACATTTAAAAAAATTAAACAATTTTTTTTAAATAATCATTTTTATTAACCCTAGAAAACAAGAACAAAATATACAAGAAAGAAAATGAAGGCTGGGGACATAGCTCAGTTGGTAGAGTGCTTGTCTCACATGCACAAGGCCCTGGGTTAAATCCCTTGCACCACCAAAAAAAAAAAAAAAAAGAAAGAAAGAAAGGAAATGAAATCAGAGCGTATCACTTAAACTGGAAGGAATAATATTTATATATTATAGTAATATAAATCCGAATAAACATTTTTTAAAATTTTTATTTTTTAGTTTTAGGTGGAAACAATATCTTTGTTTTACATTTATATAGTCCTGAGGATTGAACCCACTGCCTCATGCATGCTAGGTGAGCACTGTACCACTGAACCATAACTCCAGCCCCTGAATAAACACTTTTAATCAAAAGTGGTAACAAGATGATACTGGAAAGACAGAAGGAGGAAAATAAAGGTTATGATATGGTGATACTATAAGAAAATAAAAACCTGATTTATCATAACAGAAGTTGACATAGGTGACATAGGTGTTAAAGTTGACAAACCAGCATTAGCTTAAAGTGTACTATTTAGAATATGTCAGCAAGTCAGGTGCAACGGTTCAACCTGTAATCCCAGCAGCTTGGGAGGCTGAGGCAGGAGAATCTCAAGTTCAAAGTCAGCCTCAGCAAAATAGCAAGGCCCTAAGCAACTCAGCAAGACCCTTGTTTCTAAATAAAATGTTAAAAAAGGGGGAGCTAGGGATGTGGCTTAGTGGTTAAGTACCCCTGATTCAATCCCTGATCCACCCCCCCCCCCAAAAAAAAAGTGAGCAAACAACAGTGGAAAAAGTCAAATAGGTTTAATGAAGGTAGGTGCTCTGGCCATGGAAACTAGAGTGTGGGGAGTTTTAAGGAATGCCACTATATAAGTTTTTAAATATTTTTTGAATGATGTAATAGTTTATTTAGTAAAAATTAAAATTAATTTAATTTTAAATCAAAACATCATCCCAATCCCCTTGATTGATAATTTATTAGATTATAGATTCTAGGCTGTTTGCTCGTAGGACTTTTAAGCCTTTTTTTTTTTTTTAGCCTCCAGTGTTAAAAATTGATTTTTGAAAATACTTCTAATTCTAATTCCAATCCTTTGTGACCAAATATTAATATTTCTCTCTGAAAGATTTTAAGATCTTTCCTTTTTTTTTTTTTTCCCCCTGCTGCTCTGAACTTTTTGATGATGTGCCATAGTATGAGTTGTTTTCACTCACCATGCTAGATACTTGAGGTACTCTAGGCCTTATTTTGAAAAATTTGCTTCTCTCTCTTTTTGGTAATTTTTTCTCTTTTGGTGTCTGTTCATTTTTTTGGAATTGAATGTTAGACCTCTTTGATTGAGCCTTTGATTTTTCTTGTCTTTTTCATTGTTCCCCTTTTTGTCCTTTCGTGTTACCCTGTAAAATAGTTCCAACCATTCCTAGATTTGGGTGATGTTGGGGGCAGGGGACACAGGGATTGAACACAATGGTGCTCTATTCACTGTGCTACATCCCGAGCACTTTTTTAATTTTTTTATTTTGAGGCAGGGTCTTGCTAAGTTGCCCAGATTAGCCTCAAACTTGATCCTCTTGCCTTAGCCTCCTGAGTAGTTTAGATTATAGGTGTGTGCCACTGTACCTGGCCTATTCTTGGATATTTGCTTCAGAAATTTATTCTGAATTTTTAATTTCTGACATATTTTTCATTTCTAACAAGTCTTGTTATTGTGATTTTTCTCCCCGCCAAAAAATCTCTTTTGTGTTTTAGTGGTTCAATATTCTCACTCTCTGAAATTAAGGATATTAATTCTAAATTTTCAAAATTTTCTTCTGCTTCCTCTATAATTACTTGTTTCTTTGAAGTTCCTTTTTTTTGGTGGGTTAGTTGGTTTTGATTTCTTTCTTATGTGTCATTGGCTTCTCTAAATGTCTGTGGATCATATATTGTCTATGTACAGCCAACTAAAAGTGCTGATTCTATGAGGCGTAAACTGCAGAAGGGTAATTAAGCAGCAAGCTGGGTGTTTTTATTAGGGGGAATGCCTTGACAGTGTCTAAAGGCCTTTTATAAGGCACTGTATAGCTTCTTTAGAGAAAGATGTTCTATTTCTTGTATATTAGTGTATGTATTTCTATCTACTGGCCTACAAGAGTTGGGGATAGAGTGGGGTGGGGTGGAATGTGCTATGGAATTGCCATTGATTGTATAGTCTTTCACTCCTCCATTTTCAATTGGCATCTCATCTGATTTCCCATTGTACCTGAGGTCCCTGAGTTCAGAGCTTTGATTCAATTTCACTAGAGAATTAACTGGCTGACTTCTGTAGGATTGGAAAAGAGTAGTGCTCCAACTGTGTGAGGTGGAACTGGGGACCTAGGCATCTGATTACGTTTTTATATAGACTTGTCATCTACTCCTTTTGTTTTTCTCACCTTTTTTTGATATCAGGGCCTCCAGTTTCTAGGAATTTCTGTAATTCTGTATCAGGTCAAACTGCTTGATTTTTATTAGTATTCCTACCTATAGATAACTAGATTTTATTTTACGTCACTTTGCTTTATCAGTTAGTCACCAAGAATGGAGGTAAATACCTATGTTAAATCCATTGTTATTTAATTAAAAGTGCTTGTAAAAAATTATGTAGACTTAAAATATCATTAATTGTTCATTTCCATTTTATCTTTTTGCAGAGCTGGCGGAGTTACCTTTGATACGGTTAGACTTCTCATGCAATAAAATTATAGCAATCCCTGTTTGTTATCGGAATCTTAGGCACCTACAAGTGATCACCCTAGATAACAATCCACTGCAGTCACCTCCTGCACAGGTAAACCTCAGTTGAAATATGTTATATACATGTTTTGACAAAAGAATTAAATTTATATGCATTTATCTTTCTGTTATTTTCTTAAAATAAATGCAAATACATATATTTTCTTTAGAAACCTTGAATAAGTGGGATGGAAGATAGGTGATGTTTTCACAAATGGTTTTCCTTTCCCCAGTTTGGCATTTTTTAAGTTGAGGAATTCTTCGAAAATTATATGCATTTATATTTATGTATATTTTAGTTGTTGATGGACACAATACCTTTATTTTATTATTTATTTTTTAACTTGGTGCTGAGGATCGAACCAGTGCTTCATGTGTTCTAGGCAGTGTTCTGCCACTGAGCCACAACCCCAGCCCCCTAAAATTATTTTTCTAATAAAATATGAAATTTCTCTCTCAGTTTTCTCCTAGCAAAACTTGGATATAGAGAACATAAATATTAGACACAAAAAAAGCTTTCCAAATTAAAGATGTATCAATGTGTTCTTTTGACCATTGTTTTTGTTTCATCTTCCTATTTTCCAAACTCTAAAGTTCCCCATCTAACTAGTTTGTTCATTTCTTACTCAGGGACTTAAATGAAACTATTTAGTTATAAAGTAGCTTTTCACATAGATCGTAGTTATCCTACAATCTGTAAAAATGTTGGCCAACCCCTAGTTTTCACAGTATTTTTTTTTTAACTCTGGAATTTATTGATGATTTTACACAAGCTTAAGATACTCTTTATGGCATCTATAAAAACATAGTATAAAAACCTTATAAGTATAGAAGAGTTTCATCAGCTTAAAGAAGTTGTTTTGAATTCTGGGACAGGTCACAAAAAATATATATATAACTTTACTATTTTGTCATTTTAGTCTTATAAAAAGTAGGATCAAAACCACAATTGTACATAATTTTTGGATTCCTAAAATCAAAAGTTGTCAATATAATTTATTGGAGAGAAGTCTTAAAATTCCTGACTATATGTAACTTAGTGTGATAAATTTACTTGGTGTTTTAACAATGCTTATAATCATAAGTTATTTCTGCGTAACTGAAAGTTACTGGTAACCAAAAGACAAAAACCTATATTTACTAGTAAAATACCTAAAATAACAAATAATGAACCAAATAGTATAATTAGTTCTTTAACATTGTGCTACAAACTTGGTAGAAATGCCTTCTAATCCCAACTTACATTACATAAAAAGCCGGTTATGATTATAAAAAGAACATAAAATAATGTGTTCAATAATAATTTTGTCACACTTATATTTTATTTTATTTAGATATGTATAAAAGGCAAAATCCACATATTTAAATTCCTGAACATACAAGCTGGTAAGCTTGCTCCAGATCTGCCAGATTATGATAGGAGACCCTTGGGTTTTGGCTCCTGGTAAGTATGTTCTCTTCTTTTATCATATTCCATTACACAGGGAATAAATTAAACTAGATCCTTAAATTTGCCTGAATATTTGCCTAAGAAATAACCTGCTTTAACACTTCTATTCTCAGAATGTTGTATTATAAATAAAATTGACTATTTAGATCTGACAAAGTGTAGTTCTAAAGCATTATTGACATTTTATACCAGATAATTCTTTTGTTATTCTACATTATAAGACATTTAGCAGCATTCTTGACCTCTGCCAAGTAGGTGCCAATGGCACCCTCCTAGTGTGTCTTCAGACATTACCAGTATTCTCAGGGGAGGAATACTGAATATTCTCAGACCCTGAATGGTCTGAATGACTTCTAACTAACCTTAGCTCTGCTGATAACAAGCTTTGTGACGTATGGCAAATTGTTTGAACTTTTTTAAAACTTTTTCGTTTATCCCTTAGAGAGTGAAGAGGTTGGTTTGTTGACAATTGACATTTTTTAAGGATAATTTAATCTGTAAATCACTGTTACATACCACATGACTTATAAGGTTATCTGCTTGGCAGTCCCAACCATCTAGAATAATCTTAAGTACAGGAAATAATTCAGGGACCTTTGAACAAGCAAAATAGATGTCTCAGCGAAGGTACAGAAATGCTTCTGGACTTTACTTTAGAGAACCCGCCCTTTCTCTGTGGAACCACTATGGTGTTTGGGATCCTGTATCTGTATCCCCAAAACTGGAGGGCCTCCAAGGCCCTCATCGCTACTCACTACAGTGGGACTCAGGTCTGCATGCTCTCCACTTTGGCCAAACCAACTGGAACCCTGAATTTCTCCTCAGATTTCCTACTGGCAAGGTTCTAAGCATTTGAGGATGACGATGGATTCTGTATGTTTGAAAGCAATGTCATCACCTGCTATGTGAGCAATGAGGAGCTGTAGGAAAGTACTCCAGAGGCAGCAGCTCAGATGGTACAGTGGGTGAGCTTTGCTGATAATGATATAGTGCCCCCAGCCAGTACCTGGGTGTTCCCTACCCTGAGCATCATACACCACAACAAACAGGCCACTGAGAATGCAAAGAAGGAGGTATGGTGAATTCTGGGGCTGCTGGATGTTCACTTGAAGACAAGGACTTTTCTGGTGGGCAAACAAGTAACACTGACTGATATCACAGTTGACTGCACCCCACTGTCACTCTATAAACAGGTCTTGGAGACATCTTTCCATCAGGCTTTTCCCAGTACAAATCACTGGTTCCTCACCTGCATTAACCAGCCCCAGTTCTAGGATACCTTGGGAAAGATGAAACTGTGTGAGAAAATGGCTCAGTTTAGTTCTAAGAAGTTTGCAGAGAGACAGCCCAAAAAGAGGAGGGTTCACAGGAAAAGAAGCAAAAGCCCCAGGCCAAGCAGAAAGAAGAGAAAAAGGCAGCTGCCCCAGCTCCAGAGGAGGAGATGGATTATTGTGACCAGGCAGTGGCTGCTGAGCCCAAGGCCAAGGACCCCTTTATTCACCTGCCTAAGAGTACCTTTGTGTTGGATGAATTTAAATGCAGATACTCCAAGGAGGACACGCTTTCTGTGACGCTGCCATATTTTGGGGAGCACTTTGATAAGGATGGCTGGTCTTTGTGGTATACTGAGTACCACTTTCCAAAAGAGCTCACTCAGGCCATCATGAGTTGCAACTTATCACTGAAATGTTTCAGCAATTGGACAAGCTGAGAAAGAACACCTTGGCGAGTGTCATCCTCTTTGAAACCAATAATAACATCTCCATTTCTGGAGTCTGGGTCTTCTGAGGCTAGGAGCATGCCTTTCTGCTGAGTCCAGATTGGCAGGTGGACTACAAGTCATATACGTGGCAGAAACTGGATCCTGGCAGCCAAGAGACCCAGTCTTTGGTCCAAGAGTCCTTTCCCGGGAAGGGGCCTTCCAGCATGTGGGCAAAACCTTATCAGGGCAAGATCCTCAAGTGAACATCTCTTGCCCTTGTCTAGCTGCCTGCACCTTCCCTTTAGGGAGATGGGAGGTCATTAAAGGAAACTGAATATTGAAAAAGAAAAATAAGAAGAACCCCCCTCAGATCTTCCTTTAGAACCTGTCAAATTTTGCTTAAGAACACAGCCCTTGGGCTGGGGTTGTGGCTCAGTGGTAGAGCACACCTAGCACATGTGAGGCCCTGGGTTCGATCCTCAGCAACACATAAAAATAAATAAAATAAAGGTATTGTGTCCAACTACAACAAAAAAATAAATATTAAAAAAAGAATGCAGCCCTAATGATCTTACACAGTATCCTAATCTAAAACAGATTAACAAATTTCCATTTGGTTTCTAAAAGAAGATTAATTAACAAGCACAAAAATTAAGAAGAAAACAATTTTTAAAAGTAGACACATTAAAAGAAAAAAAAAAACCACAGTACTGTTGATATTGGGAACTGTTAACATTGTCTTTCTCCGCAAAAGAGGGATTTTGGAGCTATACAGGGACAATATAATAAAAAAAAAAATAAAAAAAAAAGGACAATATAAATATATAAGGGGAAAACCATTAACACAACAGTTTCACAAAGCTAGAAAGAAACATAAGCAGTATGAAAAGACAAGGAAAGAAAGGAACCCAAACAATGCAGGTCAATTCAACATTAGAAGAGGTAATATCTGCAGCTGATGAAATGTCAGATAAAGAGTTCAGGATATACATGCTTCAGATGATCTGGAGTCTAGAGGAAGACCTTAGACAGCAAAATCAGACAATGAAAGATCACTTTGACAATGAATTACATAAACAAATCCAAGAAGCAAAAGATCAACCCTACAGGGAGATAGAGGATATTAAAAAAAAAAAAAAACAGAAATCCTGGAAATGCAAGAAACAATAAACCAAATTAAAAACTCAAATGAGAGTATTACCAGCAGAGTAGAACACTTAGAAGATAGAACATCAGACAACGAAGACAAAGTTTTTCAACTTGAAAAGAACATAGACAGCTCAGYGAGAATGYTAAGAAATMATGAGCAGAACATCCAAGAAWTATGGGATAACATAAAGAGACCAAACTTAAGAGTTATTGGGATACAAGAGGGTATAGAGGTCCAATCCAAAGGAATGAGCAATCTGTTCAATGAAATAATACTAGAAAACTTCCCAGACTTAAAGAATTTTTAAAAATTCAAATACTAGAAGCCTACAGAATGCCGAATGTATAAAATCACACCAAGACACATAATAATGAAGATGCCCAATATACAGAATAAGGAGAGAATCTTAAAAGCCACAAGAGAGAGGAAGCAGATTACATTTAGGGGTAAACCAATCAGGATAACGGCTGATCTTTCAACACAGACTCTGAAAGCTAGAAGATCCTGGAACAACATATTTCAAACACTGAAAGAAACTGGGTTCCAACCAAGAATCGTGTATCCAGCAAAATTAAGCTTCAGGATTGAAGATGAAATAAAAATCTTCCACAATAAACAAAAGAATTTGCAACTAGAAAACCAGCTCTTCAAAACATCCTTGGCAAAACATTACAGGAAGAGGAAATGAAAAATAACAATGAAAACCAAGGTAGTATAGTAAAGGAAAAACTAATCAAAGAGGAAAAACGAATCATGTTAAGTAACATAAATAACCTAATATGACTGGAAGTACAAACCATATCTCAATAGTAAACCTAAATGTTAATGGCTTAAATGCACCAATCAAAAGGCATAGACTAGTAGACTGGATTAAAAAAAAGTACCCACAATATGCTGCCTACAGGAGACTCATCTGATAGGAAAAGATATACACAGACTGAAGGTGAAAGGTTGGGAAAAATCATACCACTCATATGGACCTCAGAAGCAAGCAGGGGTGTCCATACTTGTATCAAATAAAATAGACTTCAAACCAAAGTTAATCAAAATGGATAAACAAGGACACTACATACTGCTCAAGGGAACCATACACCAACAAGACTTAACGAAACTTTCTTCTCAGCAGCACATGGATCCTTCTCAAAAATAGACCATATATTATGTCACAGGGGAAATCTTAGCAAATACAAACGAGTAGAGATACTACCATGCATTTTATCTGATCATAATGGAATGAAATTGGAAATTTCATTGTATCCTACAATACATTTCATTGTATCCTACAATACATGGAGAATAAACAATATGCTACTGAATGAACAAAGGGTTACACAAGACATCAGAGAGGAAATTTAAAAATTCTTAGAGGTGAATGAAAACTCAGACACAACATATCAAAATCTCTGGGACACTATGAAAGCAGTACTAAGAGGAAAATTCATTTCATGGAGCTCATTCCTTAAAAGAAGAAAAAGCCAATAAATAAATGACCTCACACTACACCTCAAAGCCTTAGAAAAAGAAGAACAAATCAGCAGCAAATACAGTAGAAGGCAAGAAATAATTAAAATCAGAGCTGAAATCAATGAAATCGAAACGAAAGAAACAATTGAAAAAATTGACAAAACTAAAAGTTGGTTTTTTGAAAAAATAAATAAGATTGATAGACCACTAGCCACGCTACCAAAGAGAAGAAGAGAGAGAACCCAAATTACTAGCTTATGGGATGAAAAAGTCAACATCACAACAGACACTTCAGAAATACAGNATGAAAAAGGCAACAAACATCACAACAGACACTTCAGAAATACATTAGATAATTAGAAATTATTTTGAAACCCTATACTCTAATAAAATAGAGGATAGTGAAGGCATCGATAAATTCCTTAAGGCATATGAGCTACCCAGATTGAGCTCATATGCTCATATGAGCTAAACAGACCAATATCAAGTGAGGAAATAGAAGAAGCCATCAAAAGACTACCAACCAAGAAAAGGAACGGATGGATATACAGCAGAGTTTTACAAGAACTTTAAAGAAGAACTAATATCAATACTCGTCAATCTATTTCAGGAGATAGAAAAAGAGGGAGTACATCCAGATTCATTCTATGAGGCCACCCTGATTCCAAAACCAGATAA